ATGTCAGAAAAAATGAATAAAGGTGTGTTTTCCCCAGCGTATAACCATGTATAAAAAACCAAAACTTCTTAGACTTCGCACAGCGAGGCATAACAGGAAACCCGACAGGATGGAAGAGAAGCAGTGCAATCTTCGGTTACCAGATGTCCAAACAATGTTACCCGCGGTTACCAGATGTTCTTCGAAGATCTGTCTGATGGCCCTGCGCCTTGGCAGCGGCTCTCCCCCTCTCTAACACACGTTTCTTTAAAAATTTCTTCCGCTTTTAAAGGGGTGGAGGCAACAAAGATTGTCCTCTCCATTCTCCCAAATAAAAGGGAGCACACCCAAGCTGGGGCTGGACTCACATCTGAAAACCCTTTACTCTTTAACTCTTGTTCTGCTTTTTAGTCTCAGTTTCTCACAGTCGAAGGCCTGGCCAGCTCACAGCATGTGATTTATTTGCCTTTTGGGCTGCCTCTGCCAAATAGGAAACATAAGTAAACATTTAGGACTTAGCGTTTCGGGGTGGATGTAATCATGACTCTGCAGGGTGTGCTCTGCAGACAGCCATGATTTCATATTTAGGTTAATTTGACCAAACCTGGAAAGAGTTGTTTGTCAGAGTTGACCAGCTGTTTAAAGGGCCAACTATCGTTACGCGTGCATGCTAGTAGGAAAACATTCTGTAATTAACGCTACAAGTACGGGAAATCTTGCTCATGTGTGTGATACATCTGGAAGATAGTTTCTCACTGTCCCTACTCACCACTTAAAAAAAAAAATTGTGTGCAAGAGAGGTGCTTTCACTGATTGAATTAAAAATGAAATCTATGGTTTAGGGTTTCTCACAACCAGCTTGTTAATTTATGACACTAAATCCATATGTTCGGCCTCTCACAACATCTGTTTGCCAAGCAACCTTTTGATTTAGTAATGACATCAGGAAATGTGTTCTCTTTTTTTTTTCCAGCGAGTGGGGGGCTCAGAGTTGAGAGCACTGGCAGGGGGAGGAGGGGGACAGTCGGGGGATGCAGGAAAAAAGGAAAAAAAGGAAGGCACAGGATGAGGAACAGTGAAAGGGGCGCTGCTCCAATGTTCTAGTTGTTTCACAACTCAGAGTTCATGCGTTGATCACAGACGTTGCGTGGGGTGAATGACGAACAAATTTAGGAAGTCGAGCCAGGTGGGGGCTGCTCGTGATGAGGTTTCAGTTAACCTCCAACCCCAAACATTACGGGCCTCATGTCCACTGACGTTGACCCCTTACTGGTAGAGACCTCCCCAGGAGTTTGTCTTGGATTCTCATGGTAATACACAAGGACAAATCTTGGCAGAAAAAAGGATCCCTGAGTTCTGCTTTTCTGGTTTGTCAGTTCCAGACCAGGCAAATAAGTTTAGAAATGTAATCCAAAGCAATTCCTCAGAGGACACAATTACATAAACCCTATTTGGAACTGTAAAAATACAAAATCTAGGACATATAGACATAGATGTATAGCTGTCAGTCTATAATAAAGTGACAGAGAAAATGTATGCACTTACTAAGAGTCATCATCCTGTCTGTTGAGTTAAACTCTGCAAAGAGAGGGTATCAGTTAGTGAGCAGTCATGCATGAATTTTGTTTCTTCCTTGGTTTGTTGCTTATTTCTGTAAATATACTTACCTACTGTTACTGTCGGACGCACAGTTACCTTTTCTTCACTTTGACATACCACTGCTGTGCTTGCTGTAATAAGAGGAATAAAATAAAGACCTGAACACTGGAATATAACTGTTGATTTAAAACACCACAATATTTTATACGTGCAAATAATCTTCTATATGTAGTTTGCAGGCCTGACTGGGGCAGTAAAGGAAATAACATGCCGTGGTGAATGAACAAATGAGTGCATCCTCCCTTTGTCTAGCCCTTTTCTAGGGAAATCTTAATGTGTTCAACTCAAAAGCTCATCCCATGTGATCACGGTCTTATTGCGCGAAATAAATAAGTAATTGACTGAAATATTTTATTTATTAAAGACTCGTGACAACTGCATTTAAAAAAAAATGCAACAAGATTCATAAAAATATCCTCCTAAAGTAAAAAAAAAAACAAAAAACTGATCCAAGACAAATCAGTTGTCTCAGGCTAATCACAATTACTCTATGACCCTTAATCCAAACTGTTTCAGTGTAAAACTCAGTCATGGCATTGACTAAACTCCTTACTAAAATCTACTAATTACTAAAAGTTTTCTTTGAATTCTTACTGAGAGGTGAGTTCTTGGAAAAGTTAAAAGATTAAGTCAGAATAATAAAAATTAGGATAGCATAAAGCCTTTACTTACCCCAGATGAAAAAAGGCATAAAAACTCTGAAATACATAACTAAGAATCTGGTGAGTGTCATTTTGCCTAATGTTCTTCTCCTCTTCCCTGATGGGTAAGAATTACATATCTCAACCTTTTGCAGGAAGGCTGTGTAAAGCAACAGGAAGCCCTCATTTCCTAGTAGGGGCGGACTCACCAAATGGGGCAAAGAGCCTCTGATAAAGTTAGGACTATTGCGGCCCATTGGTGCAGGACTATCAATCTCTCTCTCTCTTCATCTATTTCCTTAGTTTGTCCCACCCTCTGTTTTCAGGGGCCACACTTTGTGCTGTTTTTCTCTTCCCCACTTTCTGCCTCTTTATTTATCATTGCAAGCAGAATTTTATTGCAAACATGGTTTCCAGCTGCAGGAGTTTCTGATCAAATGCAAGCTATGTTAGACTGACAGGATACATGCTGCTGACAAGTCGCTTTTCATGTCTTGCATAAATAAAGATTTAGAGAAGTAAATGTTTTAAGTCAATTATTTTTAGGAGAAACACACAGGGTTGCAAATCACAAAGAAGAGATACTTTTTTAGCTTATTGTTCAGAAATATCAGAAAAAGTTTTAATGAATCAACAGTTAATCTACATTTTTTTTAGGTTATGGATTCATATTTCATTACGGTGGAGCAACTGACTAACCGTGGGTAAAGAATATCTATCTATCTCAATAAACCTCTGTGGTAAAGAGAGGTGGCTGGAATATCCAGTATGAAATTGATGCGCGTCACTGAGGGATGAGTACTCTTTTTCAGCTGCTAGGCTTGGAAGAAATCCAAGTAGCAGAGGCCAAAATTGCTTCCACATTTCATTTCAGTTAAAAGAGGCCACTGTTTTACATGTAATGGACTGAACTTTAAAAATCCAGCATATAGAAGCTTAAATATTGAACTTGGAGTGTGAACGAAGTGGAGCACGAAGCATATTTGAAATGTAAGTAAGTAAGTAAACATTTACTTTGACACGTGTTCTACAAAAATGAATGCTTCTACAGTCACTCGCTATTTCAAATGGCTTTCGAAGTCTCTGTTTTATTAGCTACTTTGTAAATCTTTTCATCTCCAAGGCTTTGTCACAGATCATAAAGCCTGCAGCATATCTGAAGAAATGTATCCCAAATAGAGATGCCAAGATCAACACGCGCAGTTTACATGATACAGAATTAAAAACTTCCTGCTGATAACAGTGTCCTAAGCTCATCTTCCTCTGTGTGTTTGCTTGTTTGACAGTTTAGTATCAACATGGCAGTGGCTACTTCAAATATCACTGTGGATATGGCAAACAAACTGTATCTGAGATACTTTTTGCTCACTGAATGCATAAATCATAAGCAGGCATGCGTGCCACAAACAGCACAGCCAGGGAACAGAGGGGATCAACGACAACAGCAATCAGAAGAAACACAACGGGTCTGTTAAGGCGATATAAAGTTTCATTTCTCTTAATCCTACTTTGATGTGTACATATGAGTTCATGTGGCGTCCTTCCAATAAAAAACAGCTAAACAGCACCATCTTGTGTCTTGCAGGTGAATAATTACTGTGTCTGCTTTTGGGGATTTTTTTTGTAATATCTTACAAGTAATAAACTATAAAATGAAATAAATGGGAGCTATAAATAAAATACCCTGAGGGTAAATATTTTTAAATATATTTGTATACTTTGTATTTTACTTTTTTCTTTGTGTTATATCCTGAGGGGATGTGTTAAAATTCCTCCCGTGGAGAGCACACACAACATCGACCATATTTATCAAAGCAGTACTTTCAAGGACTTTTATTTATAGCAAACCACTACTCGATTGCCTGCACTTTCAGCTTCTTATTTGGCATTAAGTACACACACTAATTGTTTTATATTTGATTGAACGTAAATATTTGGATCTATTTAAAGTGATTGTAGCAGATTAACTGATTATCTCTGATTTTAAATTTATACACAAATCAGAATCACTGCCTCCATAGTAATGTGACTATTGGTAATTTATCGTAATTACTTATAGTGTTAGGAGTTAGCTTGTGTACATTAAATCAAATCAAGCCAGAAAATCGCATGAGATCAACTGTTACCACGTGAACCCTACGTCCGGTTTATGTGTGATGTGTTAAATTAAACATTTCCCTTCGAAAGGGGTGTGACGTTTGGCTACTTACACATATGCAAAGATTTAAACCAATCTGCTTCATACAGAGGTTAATATACTTCTCTGTAAATTCAAGTCATTATGCTTTCTCATATCGCTGCTCGTCAAATCAAAGTCCATCGAAAACATCATTCGATTGTGTTTTCAGCTTGCTTGCAGCAGCTTGCTGTATAGTGGGTTTTACGTGGGTTAAGTGACAGCATCAGTGGCGTGAATCCCTTCATCCAACCCTCTATCTTTGTGTGTCGGGCTCTCCCTGGAGGAGAAGAGCTGAACAGCAGCTGAATTGGTTTCCATTTGACCCCAGTACATTGGAATGTCCGGAAACTGTGTTCCAGTGTCCAAGTATTTATTATTTTTAATTCGTAGGCTAGACAGTTACTTCAGCTCTGTGGGCAGACTGAATTAATGCATCCGTTTTCAGGTTCTGTGAGAAGTTTATTTTGCGTTTATTTTTTTATATATATATATATAATTAAATACCCGATACTCCTATAAAACTACGTGTATTCATAATGTGTATTTAGGCCATTTTATTCTTTTGCTCCTATAGAGTGGAGCTATATTTAAGATTATGTGATTGCACTTGCTCTACTATCAAAACCCACAGAGTGATCTGCCTTCACGCATTTAGATGGCGATCTAGCACTCCGGACAGTTGCATCAGTTCCTGTGTATGCGTGTAAATGGCTGTGCTGCGGCTGCTGCACGCTACTTTTTATTCCCAGGACGCAGAATAGTAATAAATCCTCCTCTGCTTGGAAAGGCTGTGATCATAATATAGACGTCACCCTCCTGCTCGAGTTGGATCAACCAAGCCAAGTGCGCAGTTATTTGTAAGGTACAACAACAACAACCTCCAGCACCATGCCCATGGATAGAGATTTCTCAGAGATCCCCTCGCTGCGCGGAGATGATAACTGCGTCAGAGCCATAGCAAACACAGCCTTGAATTGCTCCGGATCTCTCTACTAAAAAAAAAAACGAGAGAGAGAGAGAGAAAACAGAAAGGGACTTGGTCGCGTTGCGGGCTGTTGTCGCAACAAATAGGACACGAGACGTGGATTTAAAGGTATTTAATAACTGCGACACTGGATGTAGAGATCTTGACGTGCACACCCGAGCGCTAGTGTAACGTGCCGTCATTGTGCTGTTCGGTCGCACGTCTTTAGAGTGTTCTACATTTAAATGGGTACTGTGTAGCTCTCTTGGCACGGGGCTGCACTTACAGGACGTCGCGGACTTCATAGCTTCATGTGTCTGAAACGTGTGCACGTCTCGTAGCCCCCAAAAATCAAGTGCAGCAGTTTCCCCGAGCTCAGTTTTACCTTCGTATTTATTTTTAATTCCGTTTGAGTTCAGACGGGGAAGTTGATGTTCAGCGTGGCGATTATGAAACACAGAAAAACTGTACTACGCACTTTTCTATTCTGCTTTTCTGAAGTGGCACGCCCACTCCTGTGCAATGTGGATGCCCCGTGCTATTAAATTCATGTGCTGTATTCATAGATGTGCACACTGTCGCGCTGTATGCGCATAATTCAGTCAATTTCCCCCCAAGTTTTGCAAAAAGAGCAGAAGCAGTCTACCAGAAAAAGGCCCGTAAAGCACTCGAGGAGGCTTTTTTTTTTTTTTTTTTTTTTTTTGCATTAGACGTCTGTTTTGTTTTGCTAACAGATGGGGGCACTCTTTCAGAGAGACCATCGGCGAGGGTGAATGGGGAAATGTCAGGGGTTTGTGAGAAACAGAGGGCGATAGTAAGCCCATTAGTACTATAATAAGGTAACTGAAATGGACTGCAGCCATATTACATCAAAACTACTGCCTACAATAGATTTAATGTAATTAGTGAAAGTAGTTACTGTGGCAGAAAACATGAAAACAAGCCTAAGTTTACAAAAGTAACTTATCTGAATATGAAAGTGGAATGTTTTGAAGTTGGGCCTGTTTGTCATATGATTTCCTTTTATTTTTAAACAGTCATGGAGGAAAGTGCTGCAGCAGCCCCTGGCACCGGTGTTGCCCCATCACTTCCAAGACCTCAGTCTTCCTCCTTTATCCCTTCTCGCAGCATGCTGGAGTGGAGACGGAGGGTCAAGTCTGAGTATATGCGCCTTCGCCAGGTCAAACGCCTTAAAAAAGCAGAAGAGGTCAAAGTGAGTCACATTGACGTCACACAAGTTCAATTCAGATGTTCAGGGGTTTTTTTCAGGGTCTGTGAATGAAGATAAGGTCGTAGCTAAATTTGGCACAAGACATCTTTTGTCTTGTGCAATCAGGGTTTTGTGCAATGGTCTCTAACAAATAAAGAGCAAAGCTTAATTCGCACGTGTGACACTGGTTTGTCTTTTGTATGCAGTTCTCAATGCGTATGTTATGTTAATAGTGTGTATGTCTTGGTCCTTTTTTCTCTTTTTTTTTTCTAGACCCTTTTCATGTCTAACAGGCAAAAGATTGAGCAACAGACAAATATCCTAAACACAGAATGGTCCAAGCTCCGGATTCAGTCCATCCCTCTGTCAACCGCTAATGGGGGTCTGGCCACGAAAAAGGTGGGTGGGTGGTCTGTCAGAGAGAGATGGAGAAATTATGGGGCGCTGATCTAGCTTTAGTAGAGCAGGCATCCCTTATGCTGTAATGCAGTGTCCAGGGTTTGAAACCGCTCATTCCCTTCTGTCACCTTTCTTGTCTTTTCTCCACTGTCCTATCACAATAAAGGCTAAAAGCCCCCCAAAATATGCAAAAAAGAGAGCGATGGAGACTATTAAGACAATGGCTGGACACATGATTTGTACTATTATCTGAACCTTGCGGTACATCTTCTTATTCCTGTCCAAGATGCTCTGGCTAAGCTAGAAGTGCAATATATTTTTATAATGTGAATGTGTTGTGAGGAAATCCCTTCTTGAACATCATGTTGAGATCTCCTCATGCCTCCCAATCTTTTATACCGATTCCCAACTGGATGGGAAAGAGAAGTGTGGTAGAAGTGGATCGCATGACAGTCTAACAGTCTGCGGCCTTGTGGGAGCTTATAATACATACAGCCTGATGGTGTAACCACATCTTTCTCCTCCCGCATGCTGTCACTGTCGGCTGTATTGTGTTAACTGGTTTTATTCCCCCTGCTCAGAGTTAAGCAGCAAGTGTGTAGTTATAAAACGGCCGAGTGCTGCAGCATATTGTTCTGGGATCTGGTGATTCTCAAGCCACCTCTGGTTATCTTACAGGTGTGTACAGTGGAGTTTGGCTTCCCAGGATTCAAAACTCAAGCCATTGCCATGAGACCACTGTCAACAGTAGCTGGAATCCCCTTTATGTACTCCTGGTCCCCTCTGCAGCACAACTTTATGGTATAAATAAAACACAATTGTCATTGATACAGTTACAGTGTCATATCACCCTTAGAGCACGCTGAATATAATGTGTCACTAATTCATCTGATTCTAGTTATGAGTTAAATGGAAACTGATAATGTTCTGCTCTTTTCTTATTAAATTCTCTTTTCATGGAACTTTTAGGGCAGCTGAATAAACTCAGGAACATATGTTATCGAGCTATAACATAGGAGTTTGTTCCACAGAAGTTACATTTTGAAAAACATATCCAAAAAACGGGGGTATGCTCACAGAACACTCTTACAACAGAACTTTTCATTTATTTTTTTCAGTCAGGCCGTGAATAAATTTCTGCTAACAAGTGTGATTGTCTATTGCTTTTACAGTTTTGGTCCCTCTGAAGCATCTGCAGTTAGAGACTTGTTTTAACCAAAGTTTGTATGTTCTAGGTGGAGGATGAAACGTTCCTCCACAACATCCCTTACATGGGCGATGAAGTGCTGGAGCAAGACGAGGCTTTCCTGGAAGAACTGATTGACAACTATGATGGTGTTCATGGTGACAGAGGTTTGTGTTGAATATTATATGTCCCTGCAAACAAGAGGCATATTAAAGGAAATGCAGCATCAAGTGTCTTAGAAAGGTAATGGGTCACCTCGTACCGACAGAACAGCTTCAGTGCATATTGTCAGTGATTTTCTTTGAAAATCTTTGAAACTCTGCTGGTGGAATTGGATGTAATTCTTCAAATTCTTCAATTCTTTCCTCTGATTGTTTTTGATTGGGGTGGGGAGTACTGTCTGATATGTTGGTCCAAAAATCTCCAGTAGGTGTTAAGTTGAAATTTGGCAATTTTAAGATTTGCATCCTTTTCGTACTTCACTAATCAAACAGTTCAGTGGATAGGATAAAAGGGATAGCATAGAACAACTGAATTTTGATTTTCAATGATCCTGCACTTTTTAAAACCAAATACACTTTTTGCCTTCTTAATAAAAAAGTCAAGAATCACACATTTAATTGGTGATAACTGTCGGTATGACATCTCGATTGTGTTCCAGAGGGAGGGTTCATCAGTGATGAGATATTTAAAGAGTTAGTGGACGCCCTGAGCCAGTATTCTGACCACGAGGAGGATGAAGAAGAGGAGGCCTCAGCAGGAACTGTTGGGGACATGACAGGGAAGAAAGAAGAAGAGAGGGTGATGAGGAGGAGCTCAGTGGAGGGCTCGGAAGAGAACAAAGCTGGATCTTTGGCGTTTGTCAGGAGGAAGAGGAGAAGCACTACTGAGGGTGAGTCTTCAGCTGGGCGCATTTGTGTTTTCAGATGATGAGAACAAGAAAAGTACAGGCTCATGCTGTCCGTGTCATTGCACTGTACACCTGCCACAAGGTCGCCCTGCCACAGCAGCTCTTGAGCTGACGTTGTTTGCCTTAAAGCTGCCTCTGTGTCCCTACTGTGTGTGAGTGAACCCATTTGTCCTTTACACTGATATGGCCCAGCTCTAATTACAGAACTGAATGACCTCATGCACCGAGCTTTATGGAAAACTAGGCTATATACACACTTAGTGACAGTTCATTTGAAGCACACCTGGGCACACTGTCATTTAGAGACTGATTCACAAATACATGTGTAGAAGATGGGAACGTGAATCAAAGATAATGGTAAAAGAGATGTACAGTGTTCTTATTACATCATTTTTTTCTCTTTTATCATGTTTTTTTTTACCAAGTGACCTTGAGAATTGAAGGAACTTTACCATTGCAACAGAACATATTGCATAACCTTTGTTTGTGAGTTTGTATCAAAACCTGATGTCTGGACAAACCTGGGTGATTCACATCACATGTCTCCCACAGTGAAGGACATGTCCAGCAGCAAGAAGATCCCCAATGATAAGATATTTACAGCGATCGCCTCAATGTTCCCCTACAAAGGCACCACAGAGGAGCTGAAGGAAAAGTAAGAAAAGTGTAGTCTATCCGGGGATCTGTACGCACAATGCCGGGCAGTCTGTTGCTTAGTGTTCACCATGGAGACGAAAGCTGTCAGAGAGGAAAGTAATAATAGTCGCTCCCTGTCAGGCTCTCCGACTCAAAGGGGTAGTTACATCAGCATCTGAAAGAGCTGTGCTCAGAAAGAAAAAATCTTCATCTTTGTCCAGCACTGTTTCACTAAGTTAAATGAGCGTCAATAGTGAACCACAAAGAAGTGACACATCCCGCTGAAACTTTTCATATGTCCTCCACAGGTACAAGGACCTCTTGGAGCCGCCAAGTCCAGTGAAGCTACCCCCTCTCTGCACCCCAAACCTAGACGGACCTTTTGCAAAGTCTGTGCAGAGAGAGCAGTCGTTACACTCCTTCCACACACTCTTCTGCAGACGCTGCTTCAAATACGACTGTTTCCTCCACCGTAATAGCTTCTTATATATTTTTTCAAAGTTTGAACTGTATATATTAAGATTATAGTGTTCCTTCTGAGTTTTGAGGGTAATATATTTATTATTTCTGAGTCTTTTGTTTTTTTTCCATGAAGCTGCTACTAATAACCACATAATGAAAAACAGGGGTCAAAACATTTTTCTTTCTGTTGATGAAGCTTTTCATGCTACACCCAATGTTTACAAGAGGAAGAATAAGGAGATCCGCATGGAGACTGAGCCATGCGGTGTAGACTGCTTTCTGTTACAGGTATGCCCACAGTTGTTTAACTGATGCATTCATGCATTCTCTACACATTAGAACTCCCTATGTTTTCCTCCTGATCATATTTTAAATGTTCTACGTCTTTTCTCTTGTGAAGAAAGGGGCTAAAGAGTTTGTGGATCAGAATATGTTGCGGTCACAGAAGTCTCGGAGGCGACGGAGGCAGCCCCGTCCAACCAGTTCCAGCTGCCCTGGACCATCTGGCTCTGCTGAAGAACCCAAGGAGGGTGACAGTGACCATGAAACCACCTCCTCCTCAGGTGGGGCACCTTCTCAAAATGTCACTTACTCTTGAATGAATGAATGGATTTTAAAAAATCAGTTCATGTGTTCTTCTTTCTGGTAGCAAAAGGCTTTCTTCATTATGAGTTCATGCAGTATAGATAGTGTATATATTTTAATTAGTTTCTGAGATCCACCCCCCAGAAGGCTGTCCACCCTGTCTAACCCTCTTAAGGAAAGTGAAATTTGGCTAGAGATGACAGCTTTCAAGCCACATCCTCTCTCCTTTCCTTCCCTCTTCAATCTCCTCCTAGTATCAGCTCTTTCTTGCCAAGAAAAATAAACTAGCCATTAGTTTTGCATGCTTCAGCCTCAACATAAACACATTGTTCCCTCTCCACCTCACTACTTTTACTGCACTATATTCTTTCACATTTCTACTGATTTCTTCATGCAGAGAGCAAGAGGAAGGAAATAAGCGCACACACCCCTGGCTGTTTTTCTTTCTCTTATTCACTCTCAGGTTGTTGCTGATTTCTATCAGTTCCTTACCAGAAACCTGTGTTAGTTTTGGAAACTCCTGGTACTCAGGCAGTGACTCAGCAGAGTCTCCCACATGTGTTGGGATAATGTGGAAAAAGCAGATTGTTGAGCAGATTAATAAAGACACTCAGCGCTGGAGCATGTGGCCACAGTAATGCTCCATGCAGTCTGTTGCCTGGCAACATGCGCTGTCTTGAATTGTGGAGGCACGAGCATCATTGTTGGATATCCAAAACCCCAATCAAAACTCACAGTCCCCTTTGTGTCCATTTATATACAAACACGGCTTCTAGAAACAGCAGCTTTTATGTTTGTGCAAGGTTAGAGCACCTTTTATTGCATGATTGCGGATAAAAGCTGTCACAAACTTTGCCAAGACCAAGTAATTTAAAAAGTGCTTGCTTGTTCAGATACGTGTTGAGTAAAAAAAAATGTGACAAAATGCTTTCCAGCTAAATCCCCAAAATATGTTTGTGTATGTCTGTGTGTAAAAAAGAGGGGAATTCACGGTGCCAGACTCCCACCAAGCTGCGTCCAGGAGATGATGACGGGGAGCAGCAGGCGTGCTGTGTCGTCCAGTGGAGTGGAGCAGAGGAGTCACTTTTCCGGGTGCTACACGGCACATACTTCAACAACTTCTGCTCTATTGCTCGCCTCATCGGTACAAAGAACTGCAAGGAGGTAAAACATACAGGCACATACAGGTGTTCACTTGTTTTGGTTTGAAAGTTGGTGTTAAAACTACTAAATATTAGTCACCACTAATAATTGCACTTTATTTCAGCTTTATCTTCGTTCTGTGTCCAGATAGGATAGCTACATTAACCGCAGTGTAATTAGATTTCAAACTATGTAGTTGAGAGTTTATAACATGTTTTGCCTGTAGCAGCAAATGTAGCCTGGAGACATGAAGCCTCAAGCAGAAGTGAGGAGCAGTGCACAGAGATTTCTTGCTAACTCTATGCCTTTGATTTCCTTTTCAAACTTGAACTTTAGAGCAGCTTGACTCAACTGACATCATTTTATACATTTTGCACAGCCCCATCATAACTCACAAATAGCTTTGTTAAACAGTTTCAGTCATATGAACCAATGCACCAGTAAACAGACATTAAAATGTAGCTTGCTTTATAATGACAGTACAGATGCTTTCATAAGAAAATGCAAGGAAGTATAAGTAAAACAGTTCTTAACCTCTTTGTAGACTACAAAACAAAAAAGAAAAAGAGAATCTCAGTTGTGCCTCAGTTGTGCCTGATTACCTCTCACATCTGTTGTTTACTAACTATACTAACTATGAAGTGTGTTTTTTGTAGTCTATGAACTCAACTAAAACTCTCTAAAACTGATTCATAGTTGTTTTTGAAATAAAGTACAAACCATACTTGCGCTGCTGATTTCTGTTGCGTCAGTCCAAGTATAATAACGTGCATCCGGTGCTTGTGGTTTTATGGTGTGGATAATTGGACTGACTACAGAGAGAATTGCATATGGCACCATAAAGAGGAATGCCAACCAGATGTGACGTCTCCCATTTTCCCTCATGATGCAGTTGTTCAGACATTCCCAGCTTCCCTTGGGCTGTGCATGAGAGTGCTCTGTTGGGAACATTTTGCTACTTTAAAAAATTAGATTTCAAAAGTTTTTATAGTTGTGCATTTATTTAAAAAGCGTCACCCTTGATATCCAACCCTTGTATCCCCTCTTGTTCCATGGCCAAACAAATCTGTACTGGGCTGCTAATATTCTGACTGCCCCACCCACCCACTGCTTCTCTGAGGGGAAATGCTGAAACCAGCTGCATTATGTATGTGTACATCCCAGGAAAGAGGCCAAAACTGGGTTTTAGCAACCAGAAGTGGTTGAGCATGTTTTCACACAGATGCATGTGAATGTCTGGTCTCTGCAGTCGGGTTTTATATAAGCAGCTTGTTTTGAAACTTGGGTGCCTTTGTTACTTTGCACAAAATAATTGCAGAATGTCTTCATATTTGTTTGCTTGCACGCTGAACTTGCAAGATGATATGTCATCCACGTCATTGTCATTTCCCAAAGGTCTATGAGTTTGCAGTGAAAGAGGTTCTGATCCATCGTGTTCCTTTGGAAGATGGAGGCATCTCCCCTCAAAAGAAGAAAAGGAAGCATAGGCAAGAACTCAACTGTTATTATCTTTTCTCTGACTTATTGTTTCGTCTTCCGGAATAGGTGTGAAAGAAATTTGAGCTTTTAGCAAAGAGGAATAAAGCTCTCTAATGTATTTAATGGATATTACAGGTTGTGGGCAAAGATTCAACTTAAGAAAGGTATGTATAACTAAAAAAAGACATCGTTTTTACTTCATTATGCCTTCTGACATACAACACAGCTTACTGTTCCAGTCTGAGGGCTTTGTCCTCTGTTGTTCCAGATAACTCATCCAATCAAGTGTACAACTATCAGCCATGTGACCACCCCGACCACCCATGTGACAGCTCCTGCCCGTGTGTAATGACCCAAAATTTTTGTGAGAAGTTCTGCCAATGTGAGCATGAGTGTAAGTGTTAACTTTTTTATTCATTTCATCACAATTTGTGGCTTAATTCTACCAAAAACACAATAGCCTGCTTGACCATGCGATGCTCAAAGAAGATTGTTTGTTATAATCACATTTTCCACTGAGAAGCTGTTTGCCAGGCCACAGTAGAGCAGGGCAGCAGAATGTAAAACGATTTTGCAGTAGTCTGGCAGCGGTCAGAGGAGAAATTGTCCTCTGGCAGGGATAGGTGGGTGTCTGCTTCACAGAGAGCTGCATTCACAATGAGCTATTTGCTGCAGCAGCAATGCCCCAGAACTGTGTTTTCTTAAATGGCCACATGGTGGAGAAATGCTTTTTCTGTATGATGCCCTCTGGAGAGTTGATAATAAAGAGAGAGGATAAGATTAAGCAAACATTTTTTTCTGTGGTCTCGGAAGAGGAGTTTTTTCTGCTTGATTTGTTCATCTGCGCTGGTTTAGTCACCTTTTCTCTTCCCATCTCCTGATTACCTCGCCTTTTCCCGTAGCGGCAAAGAGCCGGGGCCAAACAGGAAGCAGGTCCTAGTTCCACATGTGCGTGCATTAAAAACTTGGAGTGAAATCAAAGGGATGTGACAGGCTCTGTGCTTGATATATAACATCGTCTCCTGCGTCAGTATGAGTCAAATAGCTCAAGCTAAACGGCGCTTGATGATACAGAAGTATAAAATCCACTCGTGGTGGGAATGGGAAGCGATAGGCTGCCTTGAGCAGCCTTAGTATGGACAGTTTTTTTCCAAGCATAGGCTATTGGAAAGACATTTCCGTTATTCTTGCTGGAGCCTTCCATTCATCTGCCCTGAGGGTGTTATGTTACACGCCTCAAAATTGTATTTCAGCATGTCTGCCAGCAGAGGTCTCTGATTAATGAACCTCTCAGCATTACTCAACCTCTGAGCTCCTCTTCTGCAACTGTATTTCGAAATTCAGGGGTTTTTTTTTTTATTGAGTTTTTTAATCATAATGATATTTCTTCACATAATGTAGTATATTTCTGGTTTACTGCTAACTTCTTTATAAAACATGTCAGCAATTCCCCTTTCAAAGCAGCTCTGTGTCTAAATGTTGTCTAGGCCAAAACCGCTTCCCAGGCTGCAGGTGTAAGACTCAGTGCAACACTAAACAATGTCCCTGCTACCTGGCTGTAAGAGAATGTGACCCAGATCTTTGCATGACATGCGGTGCCGCAGACCACTGGGACAGTAAAGTAGTCTCCTGCAAGAACTGTAGCATCCAGAGAGGCCTGAAAAAGGTACACTGGAAGATGTGGCTGTTTAAAAATTTTAAAGAGTGAAATTTAGTGGTATTAAATAACTCAAATATCATATGGTGTTTTTAGCACCTGCTTTTGGCTCCCTCTGATGTTGCTGGGTGGGGCACGTTCATCAAAGAGCCTGTTCAGAAGAATGAATTCATCTCTGAATACTGCGGAGAGGCAAGTCTGTGCAGTTTAGTCGATTTTATTTTCAAATACATCATCCATGCTGCCTGCTTACAGTGTTATTTTTCCTATATGTGTGCATAAGCAGCTGATCTCTCAGGATGAAGCAGACCGACGTGGAAGGATTTACGACAAATACATGTCTAGCTTCCTTTTCAACTTGAACAACGGCACGTATTCCCACAGCGTAAAATTCTAAGCCAGGCATACCACTGCAGTGTATTAAAAAACCCATAACATACTCGGTTTCTCTCTTTAGACTTTGTTGTGGATGCCACACGAAAGGGGAACAAAATCCGCTTTGCAAATCATTCAGTTAATCCCAACTGCTATGCTAAAGGTCAGTGAAGGGGGGGTGGGGGTCACTTTGCTTTACTATATGAATTCAGCAGCTTTATAAGAGTTATGTTGTCTGATGTTGTCTTCCCTGCCCTTGCAGTGGTGATGGTAAATGGAGACCACCGCATTGGAATATTTGCCAAACGAGCTATCCTTCAAGGAGAGGAGCTCTTCTTTGATTACAGGTAGAGTTGAAGGCCCCTTTGTAATCTCCAGCTTCAAGAGATAATGTATACAAACTCACACTCTTCATACTGTTTCCTCCCACAGATACAGCCAAGCCGATGCCCTCAAATATGTGGGAATAGAGAGGGAGGTAGAATTGTCTTAGCTTCATCGGCTGCCTACCTTCAGAACTGGTCCTTAACTCCTCAGCCACCTACTAATGCTTCTTTCCCCGTCTGCAGCATCACATTTAGCTGACAAATTTCTATCAGCAGTCACCGTCTCTGCCCTCTCTGCTGCACTTCCAAAAATAGAAAGCCCCTCCCTGCTGTTTGCAGGTGCTCATGCGCCACAAACACTGTACCACCTCCTTCAGTGACAGCCATTAGCTCTCCTCCTCATCTGCTCAGACCCATCCACCTACCTGTAAAACTGTATCAACCAAGCTTAAACTATTTAAAGTGGAAATACTATTAATCCCTATCACTTACTGTACTGAGAGCATCTCAAATTTTTTATTCCATCTCGTCAAAGCAAACAAAGCCGAAATAACCCATAGCACAGTGTGTAACTCTCAGCAGTTTTGTTACTGTACTTATTGACTGGCTTTTCTTTGAGAATTCAGTATGTAATGCAATTTTTTACAGTGTATGTAATGATGGTAAATGAAATGCATGTGACAAACCATCCATTAAACATGTTAGATGCAACATTAGCTTTGGACAGATACTGTTGTTAACGTGCAGTCATGCAGTATTGTAGTATGAGGTTAAGCTGTCGCTGTTTTACAGAGAAACTTGATCAGGTTGCGCAACTCGATGCGCTCCCCCTGTGAATTTTCTCTGCAGCTAGCAACTTCATCCATCTTTATGGTAAAATAAGTTATTGTGCATTTATATCACTGTTCTGCAAAAATAGGCAACCAGACGAGAAACCGACTGACTGAATGTAACCTGTAGATGATGGTGAAGAGATCTCATTCTGCTTTTCATTTTAAACATTATCCTATTATTGGTACTCAGACTGGCATGCATACGTCAAGCATTTATCTTTGTGTTTACAACAGCCCGATACTCTCGCATTTTGCCAGGAAAGTAAGTCACAGAGTAGATGTTTCCTTTGCAAATAAATAAGTGCCAAATGATTCCAGGAAGAAAAGTGCTGAAACAACAGGGCTGTGTTGCGTAACAAAGCTGTGTTAAAGGTAACCAATGAAGGTTATAACCATGGAAAAAACAAATTTGTTAGTGTTTGACCAAATATTAAGGCCCCCCACATGTGAATGTAAATGATCCTTTTTCATTTGTTTTTCTTTATTTTTTTTATGTCCACACTTGCCGTTTGGTCTGTTCTTCATTTATAAAACATTAAAAGCCCACTTTGAAATGAGATCTTTCTCAATAGAGATGAACAAAATGGAGTTTAATGCTGTGTACAGTGTATGCCTATAAAAATAAAAGTTTAACTTTATACATTAAAGATGCTACCCTAGTCCTTATCTGTGCTAAATGCTCCCTACATTGAAAGCTCAAACAACACATTGATTTCCTTCAAGCTTCATTTATTGAGATGACAGTTTGGCTTTGCCTTGATTTACACAGTTATGGTCATTTACAGTGAAACTATTACAAAACAACCTCGAGCAGAGAGAACAGAAAAATAATCTACACTTCAAGGTGATCAAAACATAACTGTAATCTTCATTTCTAGAATTTGTTCCAGAAGGATTTAGTTTGATGTTGCAGAGAAATCTAACCTGCCTACTCTTCACATGATTTCAGACATGATATCACTGTTCACAGGGTGTCTGCAGATTTTTAAGGCCTTTATAGACACTAAAATCTCTAAGTGCTAACAGAACACAATACACACAAATCACAATTCCTTTATGAGCCTAATTTAAGCCCCTTTAAATCTGCTTTTTTTTAATCCTGTAAATTCTGGCATTAATCTGAGCTTCAACTCATTAAACAATGCTCGGAAAGTTTGACATTTTAAATCGTCAGCACATACCCTGTCTTAGATAACATCCAGCTGGCTGACTCCCTCTACTGGACGTTTAACCTACCCATTTCTTTTCCTCCATTATGAGGCTGCAGGATGGTCCCTTCAGGATAAGGTCATGTGATGCCTGTGCAGATAGGAGCCATACTGAACACTGTCTCACTGTACTACTGTTGGTGCACTACAATAAGTGAGCTGAATAGTTGGCATGAGTGCACGTTTGTCATTATTTTAAGATCAGGTTGTATCTTGGTGGGAAAAATGTAAATACACAAACATTAAAACATCAGACCACACAAACACACGCTCCAGGGACCACATATGAATTAATTAGTGAGGTGCAATAATGTGACACTGCTAATGCTGAATGCTTACAGTCCATTTACCAATGAATACAGTGAGATATATACATTTATATGATAAAGAAGTCGACTCTTTGCTAAAAGGCAACAAAGCACATTTGACCCAAGTTTGTTAATGTGGCGATTGTCCAAATAACAAAAACATAAATCATTCTTCGATCGTCACAAACCATCAGTTTCACTCTGTTTGCTCACTTTTCACTCTCATTCGTGTTAATAAAGTACATTCTGAAAAATAGAGCCTGTATTTGCCAGTTTTGGCCAAATCTATACATGTTCATACATTATTAGCAAGTCGTGCCTTTACAGTAATTGCAGTTTTTACATCTACTGTACATTCTTTCACTGTACAATTTCGCACAGTCCTGTCCATCTGCAACGGAAGAAAAACCAACAATGTTGAGTTTTGGAGGTGTATTAGTGCTACAGAGAACAAGTACTGTACTTTCTTTATCCTGAGCATTCTAAAAAGCTACAATGAATAGTTTTACTTTCAGTACTAAGCAGTCTACAATAAAAACAGAGTAGGTCTTCAGTGTAGTGTCTGCTCATACATTACACAGTCTGAGGATATACATTCAAACCATTCCATTTGACTGTAGCTTTTCTTGTACAAACTGAAGGAATTTTAAAAACAAGTCACTTGACACATTATTCATATAGTTACGTATACACTCATTGCATCCTACTTGCTATTGTGCATTAGCAAAATAAACTGAGGCATTAACATTATTGGTGGCTGGAAGAAGCTAATATTATTGCATGTTACTGCAAAGTGCGCTCATGCTCTACATATGCATAGCTGATATGTTGCAAATGTGTTACTTTTTTCATTGTTTTCCACATACACGATAGTGCTTTAGTGTACACAAGGAGCTGCAGTGAGTGATGATAGCCCTAAGCTTTGGTTGCACCACAGATCAAATGATATTTCATCTTGCCAGAGATGAAAATTTCATGTGACTGTAGAATTTTCCACTTTTTCACTGAAAGCAGCTAAACAAGCAGCAGTAGCAGTGATGACTTTGTGGTCAGCTACTGCACTACAATATCATGAAAAATATTTTAGCATTATGAGCTAAAAGAAAAAGATCAGCATTTACATTTTGTGGTCCTCTGTACATATGTTATTGTGTGTGTGTGTGTATGTGCATGTGTGTTTCTATGTATGCTTCCCATATGGCCATAGCAGCTTTTCCCTGAAATTTGTTTTCACTGAAAAAGAAAGGATTGTGGAAGGACTTACTGTATACTCTTTTTGTTCTGACACTCTTGAGACGTTAGAGACTCAAATGTCTGTAGCACCAACCTATTGGCAGATTGATCATAATATGCAACCAGAAGTAAGACAGAAGAAATAAGATCTAGTTCACTCTGTCCCCGGCAAGCTTCATCACTTGAACTTTTTTTGTTTTCATTCTGCAGTACACCAACAGTCTGTTAGCTCCTACAACCAGAGGTACTGTATCTTCAGATCATCACATTCTCATGTCCAAAGCCCCCATGGTTGAGAATGTGTTTTGAATCTGAGCATACTGTAATCGGCAAAGCTGCTTTCTACTGACACTGTATATGTAATGCAATGTTATAGGCTTCAATACAACAAACACAAGCATATGTACCTTGTAGAATCTATACGTATCATCTCAAAGCTCATCATCACAAAGCTCCATGCTTATCAGTGTATTCCTTTTCGGTTGATGCTTCTTTTTTTTATCCATGAACACCAGTTTTGTGTGTTGATTTTCCTTGCACTGTTTTAGTTCCCCACTTCAGATGCTCTTACTGTTTAAAATCGAAATGGATTATGCACTATGGTGTCGATAGTGGTTCCAGAAGAGATTGTCAGCAAAAGGTATATTTTGGATGGCATAAATCTATACAGTAGGTTATTGGTAGTTTTCATCTTAAAAATGGCTCAGAAAAGAAATCACTCAATTAAAGCCTAAACACTTAAATCTGATGTTCTAATTAAACATCCTTTCCCACAGTGTCTAAACTAATCCCAATCTGAATAAGCTATTATGGGTACTTTAGATCAAGCTTGCTCAGATGAGGCACTTCAGTATTTCACCTTGCAATACAGTGTGAGACTTGTTGGCTACTCATGCAACACGGGGCTTGATTTGAATTTTGAACCCAGCAAAACTAGACTTACCAAAATACATACTATGTAGAGCACCAGGCATCATATCCAAATCAACTGGGCAAAGGAACAGAAACCAAAATGTAAATAAAAAAATCAGGAAACAAAAAGAATAGAAAACTTAATATAGGTATCTGTGGTTTTGTAGATGCTAATTCCCACACTCCAACCCCCACTCAAAACCCCAACCACTGTCCAAGAGGTTCTCTGATGCTAGTCGCTCCTGAACTCCTCTTCAATTTCTGGGAGGTTCTTTTTTTCTCTCCTCAGAGTCTCGGTGAGGGGTCTGGAGCTACTGGGGGACTCCAGGTTTTTAGGTTCATTGGTATGGTAACTGCCCTTCTGCTGATAGGCATACACATAGATGCTGTACAGGCCTCCAAAGAGCAGCAACAGCGCCAGGATCACAATAACTGAAGGACAAGAATAGGAGTCAGACATTATCCACAAGACCTGGAAGAAAAAGCTGCTCCAAGAAATACTGATGACAAGCAAGTGTTGCTTGACACAAAGATAGGTACAACTTTCTTATCTTAACAAGACAAACTGTTGGAATAAATTAATTTAGGTCTCGTGTCGCCTATGATGACATAACACACTTTCTTTCTGCTGTGCCAGAAGTCTGTGATCTAATTCTGTAACATCTTAAGTGTGATGTTTACATTCTGCGCATGTGTGGTTTTTTGGTCTTTCTGAACAAGAAATCACTGCTCACACTAGTGATTTAATTAGTTAGTGTGATTTACTGTGAAAGGTCATCAAAACATACAGAAAGACAAAAATATAAGGGGTTATCTGATTGTTGGGTTTTCTCTGTTCTGTTTGTATCATTTGGGGGTTTTTACTTTACAATATAAACTGCCTCGAGGCAACTGTTGTTGTGATTTATAAATACTGAATGCGCTCTCACTGGAATTAGACCTGCCTTTCGAGACATTCTTTGCTGGGTTTGATCTCTTCTTCCTCTTTTTTCGCCTGTTCCTTTTAGGGGACACGATGGATCATTTGCCTCCATCTTACCCGATCACCAGCATCTTCTCCCACTATAACTCTTTGCATTTCTTCCTTTTCTACATTCAAAAATCTTTTTCTGTGGTCTTCTTTTTTCTTCCTACCTGACAGCTCCATATTTAACATACTTTGTTCAGCATACACACTCTTCTGCACATGTCTAAATGATCTCAGCCTTGCCTTACTCACTTTTATCTCCAAATTGACCTGTCCCTCCTGTCTTTTTGTTATTGCTGCACTATACATGATAGCAGATTGCACTATCATCTTACAAACCTTCCTTTTCACTCTTGTCACAAATCTCACCTGACTTGCCTCTACCCACTCCACCTGGCCTGCATGCTCTTCTTCTTCCTCTCATTCTCATTCTTCCTCTGTCTTGCCTCTGCTGACTTTCATTTCTCTGCAGTGCATACCTCCATCTCTATAGACTCTTTTAGGCCTGCTCCCTACTCTCAAATACAAATCACAGCATCGTCTACAAACATTCATGGAGGCTCCTACTTGACCTCATCTGTCAGCCTGTCCATCACTATTGTAAACAACAAGGGGCTCAGCGCTGATCCCTGAGCTAATCCCACCCCCAACTTGAACCCATCTGTCACTCCTACTGCACACCTCACCACTGTCCCACTGTCCTCATGCATGTCCTGCAACACCCTCACATACTTCTCTGTCACTCCTGACTTCATCCCCACACACTTCTGTCATCTGAATAACCGCCTTCCACTCTTCTTCCTCTCCATACATGTCCTCACTTCCTCCTCAGTAATCCTCTGTTGGATTTGATACATTTAAAATATGATCTGAAATAGTGCACTCTCTGAAGCAAGGTCTTAGTAAGCCAGAGGAAATTTTCAGATAGCTAGAGGAATTTTCTGAAGATTGGAGTGACCTGATAAGCACTTTGTCCTTAGTTCCCAAGCAGCTGCATTTAGAATTTGCTAAATGAATAT